AATGCAGGGAGCAGCAGCGCCGTGTATCTGGGCTGTCCTGTCCTGTCTGCTTTTGAGTCGACTCAAATGCAGGGAGCAGCAGCGCCGTGTATCTGGGCTGTCCTGTCCTGTCTGCTTTTGAGTCGACTCAAATGCAGGGAGCAGCAGCGCCGTGTATCTGGGCTGTCCTGTCCTGTCTGCTTTTGAGTCGACTCAAATGCAGGGAGCAGCAGCGCCGTGTATCTGGGCTGTCCTGTCCTGTCTGCTTTTGAGTCGACTCAAATGCAGGGAGCAGCAGCGCCGTGTATCTGGGCTGTCCTGTCCTGTCTGCTTTTGAGTCGACTCAAATGCAGGGAGCAGCAGCGCCGTGTATCTGGGCTGTCCTGTCCTGTCTGCTTTTGAGTCGACTCAAATGCAGGGAGCAGCAGCGCCGTGTATCTGGGCTGTCCTGTCCTGTCTGCTTTTGAGTCGACTCAAATGCAGGGAGCAGCAGCGCCGTGTATCTGGGCTGTCCTGTCCTGTCTGCTTTTGAGTCGACTCAAATGCAGGGAGCAGCAGCGCCGTGTATCTGGGCTGTCCTGTCCTGTCTGCTTTTGAGTCGACTCAAATGCAGGGAGCAGCAGCGCTGTTTATCTGGGCTGTCCTGTCCTGTCTGCTTTTGAGTCGACTCAAATGCAGGGAGCAGCAGCGCCGTGTATCTGGGCTGTCCTGTCCTGTCTGCTTTTGAGTCGACTCAAATGCAGGGAGCAGCAGCGCCGTGTATCTGGGCTGTCCTGTCCTGTCTGCTTTTGAGTCGACTCAAATGCAGGGAGCAGCAGCGCCGTGTATCTGGGCTGTCCTGTCCTGTCTGCTTTTGAGTCGACTCAAATGCAGGGAGCAGCAGCGCCGTGTATCTGGGCTGTCCTGTCCTGTCTGCTTTTGAGTCGACTCAAATGCAGGGAGCAGCAGCGCCGTGTATCTGGGCTGTCCTGTCCTGTCTGCTTTTGAGTCGACTCAAATGCAGGGAGCAGCAGCGCCGTGTATCTGGGCTGTCCTGTCCTGTCTGCTTTTGAGTCGACTCAAATGCAGGGAGCAGCAGCGCTGTTTATCTGGGCTGTCCTGTCCTGTCTGCTTTTGAGTCGACTCAAATGCAGGGAGCAGCAGCGCCGTGTATCTGGGCTGTCCTGTCCTGTCTGCTTTTGAGTCGACTCAAATGCAGGGAGCAGCAGCGCCGTGTATCTGGGCTGTCCTGTCCTGTCTGCTTTTGAGTCGACTCAAATGCAGGGAGCAGCAGCGCCGTGTATCTGGGCTGTCCTGTCCTGTCTGCTTTTGAGTCGACTCAAATGCAGGGAGCAGCAGCGCTGTTTATCTGGGCTGTCCTGTCCTGTCTGCTTTTGAGTCGACTCAAATGCAGGGAGCAGCAGCGCCGTGTATCTGGGCTGTCCTGTCCTGTCTGCTTTTGAGTCGACTCAAATGCAGGGAGCAGCAGCGCTGTTTATCTGGGCTGTCCTGTCCTGTCTGCTTTTGAGTCGACTCAAATGCAGGGAGCAGCAGCGCCGTGTATCTGGGCTGTCCTGTCCTGTCTGCTTTTGAGTCGACTCAAATGCAGGGAGCAGCAGCGCCGTGTATCTGGGCTGTCCTGTCCTGTCTGCTTTTGAGTCGACTCAAATGCAGGGAGCAGCAGCGCCGTGTATCTGGGCTGTCCTGTCCTGTCTGCTTTTGAGTCGACTCAAATGCAGGGAGCAGCAGCGCCGTGTATCTGGGCTGTCCTGTCCTGTCTGCTTTTGAGTCGACTCAAATGCAGGGAGCAGCAGCGCTGTTTATCTGGGCTGTCCTGTCCTGTCTGCTTTTGAGTCGACTCAAATGCAGGGAGCAGCAGCGCTGTTTATCTGGGCTGTCCTGTCCTGTCTGCTTTTGAGTCGACTCAAATGCAGGGAGCAGCAGCGCTGTTTATCTGGGCTGTCCTGTCCTGTCTGCTTTTGAGTCGACTCAAATGCAGGGAGCAGCAGCGCTGTTTATCTGGGCTGTCCTGTCCTGTCTGCTTTTGAGTCGACTCAAATGCAGGGAGCAGCAGCGCTGTTTATCTGGGCTGTCCTGTCCTGTCTGCTTTTGAGTCGACTCAAATGCAGGGAGCAGCAGCGCCGTGTATCTGGGCTGTCCTGTCCTGTCTGCTTTTGAGTCGACTCAAATGCAGGGAGCAGCAGCGCCGTGTATCTGGGCTGTCCTGTCCTGTCTGCTTTTGAGTCGACTCAAATGCAGGGAGCAGCAGCGCCGTGTATCTGGGCTGTCCTGTCCTGTCTGCTTTTGAGTCGACTCAAATGCAGGGAGCAGCAGCGCCGTGTATCTGGGCTGTCCTGTCCTGTCTGCTTTTGAGTCGACTCAAATGCAGGGAGCAGCAGCGCCGTGTATCTGGGCTGTCCTGTCCTGTCTGCTTTTGAGTCGACTCAAATGCAGGGAGCAGCAGCGCCGTGTATCTGGGCTGTCCTGTCCTGTCTGCTTTTGAGTCGACTCAAATGCAGGGAGCAGCAGCGCCGTGTATCTGGGCTGTCCTGTCCTGTCTGCTTTTGAGTCGACTCAAATGCAGGGAGCAGCAGCGCCGTGTATCTGGGCTGTCCTGTCCTGTCTGCTTTTGAGTCGACTCAAATGCAGGGAGCAGCAGCGCCGTGTATCTGGGCTGTCCTGTCCTGTCTGCTTTTGAGTCGACTCAAATGCAGGGAGCAGCAGCGCCGTGTATCTGGGCTGTCCTGTCCTGTCTGCTTTTGAGTCGACTCAAATGCAGGGAGCAGCAGCGCCGTGTATCTGGGCTGTCCTGTCCTGTCTGCTTTTGAGTCGACTCAAATGCAGGGAGCAGCAGCGCCGTGTATCTGGGCTGTCCTGTCCTGTCTGCTTTTGAGTCGACTCAAATGCAGGGAGCAGCAGCGCCGTGTATCTGGGCTGTCCTGTCCTGTCTGCTTTTGAGTCGACTCAAATGCAGGGAGCAGCAGCGCCGTGTATCTGGGCTGTCCTGTCCTGTCTGCTTTTGAGTCGACTCAAATGCAGGGAGCAGCAGCGCCGTGTATCTGGGCTGTCCTGTCCTGTCTGCTTTTGAGTCGACTCAAATGCAGGGAGCAGCAGCGCCGTGTATCTGGGCTGTCCTGTCCTGTCTGCTTTTGAGTCGACTCAAATGCAGGGAGCAGCAGCGCCGTGTATCTGGGCTGTCCTGTCCTGTCTGCTTTTGAGTCGACTCAAATGCAGGGAGCAGCAGCGCCGTGTATCTGGGCTGTCCTGTCCTGTCTGCTTTTGAGTCGACTCAAATGCAGGGAGCAGCAGCGCCGTGTATCTGGGCTGTCCTGTCCTGTCTGCTTTTGAGTCGACTCAAATGCAGGGAGCAGCAGCGCCGTGTATCTGGGCTGTCCTGTCCTGTCTGCTTTTGAGTCGACTCAAATGCAGGGAGCAGCAGCGCCGTGTATCTGGGCTGTCCTGTCCTGTCTGCTTTTGAGTCGACTCAAATGCAGGGAGCAGCAGCGCCGTGTATCTGGGCTGTCCTGTCCTGTCTGCTTTTGAGTCGACTCAAATGCAGGGAGCAGCAGCGCCGTGTATCTGGGCTGTCCTGTCCTGTCTGCTTTTGAGTCGACTCAAATGCAGGGAGCAGCAGCGCCGTGTATCTGGGCTGTCCTGTCCTGTCTGCTTTTGAGTCGACTCAAATGCAGGGAGCAGCAGCGCCGTGTATCTGGGCTGTCCTGTCCTGTCTGCTTTTGAGTCGACTCAAATGCAGGGAGCAGCAGCGCCGTGTATCTGGGCTGTCCTGTCCTGTCTGCTTTTGAGTCGACTCAAATGCAGGGAGCAGCAGCGCCGTGTATCTGGGCTGTCCTGTCCTGTCTGCTTTTGAGTCGACTCAAATGCAGGGAGCAGCAGCGCCGTGTATCTGGGCTGTCCTGTCCTGTCTGCTTTTGAGTCGACTCAAATGCAGGGAGCAGCAGCGCCGTGTATCTGGGCTGTCCTGTCCTGTCTGCTTTTGAGTCGACTCAAATGCAGGGAGCAGCAGCGCCGTGTATCTGGGCTGTCCTGTCCTGTCTGCTTTTGAGTCGACTCAAATGCAGGGAGCAGCAGCGCCGTGTATCTGGGCTGTCCTGTCCTGTCTGCTTTTGAGTCGACTCAAATGCAGGGAGCAGCAGCGCCGTGTATCTGGGCTGTCCTGTCCTGTCTGCTTTTGAGTCGACTCAAATGCAGGGAGCAGCAGCGCCGTGTATCTGGGCTGTCCTGTCCTGTCTGCTTTTGAGTCGACTCAAATGCAGGGAGCAGCAGCGCCGTGTATCTGGGCTGTCCTGTCCTGTCTGCTTTTGAGTCGACTCAAATGCAGGGAGCAGCAGCGCCGTGTATCTGGGCTGTCCTGTCCTGTCTGCTTTTGAGTCGACTCAAATGCAGGGAGCAGCAGCGCCGTGTATCTGGGCTGTCCTGTCCTGCCCTCCCGTTCACCCTCAAACCCCCGTCCACCTTTTTTTTCTTCTTCTACGTACCGTCCCCTCTCCCCCCCTGTCCTCCCAGGCCTGGCGAACCCAGCGCCCATCATTCAGACGTTCTTCTTAAAGGAGCTGGCAGAAGGGCTGCGGACCAGGGCTTTCCTTCCTGTCCCTAACTGCAATCCTCCCTGTTTTTCTATTCCTTTCTTTCTCTTCTTTCCCAGGCCTGGCGAACCCAGCGCCCATCATTCAGACGTTCTTCCTGGAAGAAGAGCTGGAGGAGGGGCAGAGGCTGGACGGATGGAGTGGTTCCTAATGCCCCAAACCCCATGCTCCCTCTCTCCCCTCCCTGCCCCCCCAGGCCTAGCGAACCCAGCGCCCATCATTCAGACGTTCTTTTTGGAAGCGGAGCTGGCAGAGGGGCTGCGGCTGGATGGAGTGGTGACGCTGGTGGACGCCAAGCACGTCACCCGCCACCTGGACGCCGCTTCTTCCCTTCCCCACTCTTCCTTGCTTTCATGACATCCCATGACCCATTCTCCCCTCCATTTCCTTTTTTCATTTGCTTTTCTTTGGCTCTTCCGTCCCCTCCTTCTCCCACAGGTCTAGCCAACCCAGCGCCCATCATTCAGACGTTCTTCCTGGAAGAGGAGCTGGCGGAGGGGCTGCGGCTGGATGGAGTGGTGACTCTCGTGGACGCCAAGCACGTCACGCGCCACCTGGACGCGGCAGAGAAGGCTGCAGCAGAGGGGTCAACGGAGGTCAACGAGGCCGTGGAGCAAGTGGCTTTCGCTGACCGGCTTATTGTTAACAAGGTGAGTTGAGGAGAAGTGGTAACCCTAGTGGACGCCAAGCACGTAACCCACCACCTGGACGCTTCGGAGAAGGCGGCAGCAGAGGGGTCAACGGAGGTCAACGAGGCCGTGGAGCAAGTGGCCGTCGCCGATAGGCTTATTGTTAACAAAGTGAGAAAAGAAAAGAAAAGAAAAGAAAAGTAAAAAGATCATGAGGGGTCAACGGAGGTCGACAAGGTCATGCAGCAAGTGGCGTTTGCTGAGCGGCTCATTGTTAACAAAGTGAGCCGGGGAAAAAGAAAAGAAAAAAAGTCAGAGAGGCCAACCAGGCTGTAGGCAGATGGCGTTCACCTTATCGTCAACAAGGTGAGTGGGAAGAAACACTCTTTCTCTCTCCGCCACACACTCAGTTTCGTTCCCCTCTCGCTAGCTAGCTTGCTCTCCCTCTCTACCACACACATCCCTCCTTCCTCTTCTATTTTCCTCGTTGCTCCTCGTCCCCACGTGCAACTGTAACAACAGCAGACAAATAGTTGTCACTATGATCTGATTTGGTTATGCTACGATCTGGCTCGCTGTGTGTTGCAGATCGACCTTGTGACGGACAGCGAACTCAAGGATCTCGTCGAGAGGCTACAGGTAACTAGAATTCTCTGCGCTTCAGATCCGGTACTCAATGCCCGTCATGTCATTTCTCCCTTCTTTTAGTGTGTGTGTTAAGTTGCACCGTCTGATCTTGTGCACATCGGAGAATCAGACCTCCTGACCTTGTTTAACTCCGTATGGGTGGCAGGATATCAACTCCATGGCTCGCATGAGCAAGGCGTCGTACGGCAAGGTGGATCTGGACTACGTGCTCGGCATTGGAGGCTTCGACCTCGAGAGGTGCGTTTCTGTGGAGTCGACTTTAAGAAAAGGTGACTCTTTGAGTCGATTCAAAACGAGGTGGCTTTTGAGTCAGCTCGTATGAGCATGGCGTCGTACTGCAAGGTGGACCTGGGCTATGTGCTCGACATTGGTGTGTTAGATGTTGAAACATCTCACGTGAGATCCATATTGCAATGATCCACCAGAAACCCCCAGCTCGAATGCTGTTATCGATACTGTATGGTCGTCCCGTCCCTTCATTCTTTCTTTTCTTTCTTTCTTTTGCAGGATTGAGAGGGACGTGCAACCTCACATTCTGAATGAGGGAGCATCCCATGACCACCACCACCACCACGAGCACGACCACGACCATGACCATGAGCATGAGCACTGTGGGACATGCGGTGGCGATCACTCCACAGAGGAGCACGGGCACGACCACCACCACCACCATCATGACCATGACCACAGCCACAGCCACAGCCACTGTAAGTGTCTCACTCTTGAACCGTACAGGAAGCTTTGGTGGGAGAAAGCAACCCCATTGTATTGGTGGGAGAAAGCAACCCCATTGTATTGGTGGGAGAAAGCAACCCCATTGTATTGGTGGGAGAAAGCACTCTGACAGGATCTTGTCTGTGCATCCCTGCTGTGTGCATTCCTCCTTGCCTCCTCGCCTCCTTGCCTTTCTTTTTTTTCCAGCCCATGCGAAGCACGCAACAGGTGTCTCATCAGTCAGCATTCAGTGTGAAGGCAACCTCGACCTGGAGAAGGTACACTGCACTTCATCGTGTCCTCCATTGCCATTTCTTAGTTCTTTTCTTAATCGCCTTACTTCACCAAGCCATTGTTTTCCAGGCTGTGCTGTGTACGGTATTATTGCCTTTTTTTTTTCACCTGTTTTGAAATATATGGCTCGGTTTTGCATTGATTAAATGTGCACCATTCTCTCCATGTGGCTTGCCTTTGCAATCCAGATTAACGACTGGTTGGGAGACTTGCTTGCGGAGAAGAGTGATGACATCTATCGCATGAAGGGTGTCCTGTCCATTCACAAGTGCCGGGAACGATTTGTCTTCCAGGTAAGTCTACCATACACTTATTTGTCCAACCTTCTCTAATCTTGGACATTACTCTGGCAACTTACCTGAAATACCATCCTCTATTGCGTGGTGGTCTTGTTGCAGGGCGTGCATGCTCTTTTTGAGGGTTCTCCAGACAAGCCATGGGGTCCGGATGAGAAGCGCTCCAACAGAATTGTCTTTATTGGCCGCAACCTGAATGAGGCAGAACTTAATGAAGGGTTCAGGAGCTGCCTTCAAGCTTAGGAGTATCTACCATGCTGGTGCTGCTTTGTACCCACAATGGTAGTTGCCTTGAAACTGCCTCACTATACAACAGTAGCAGAGGGTGTAACCATTCAAACATATAACCTAGGTTTCCTCTTTCTAATCGAAGCTGCAACTTTAGTCACATCCAGTTTTACAGCATGGGTTCTGTGGGCTATGCATCAGATTGCTCCCTGCCTGAGCATGTCCACCTTTTTCTTGCAGCAGTTCTAATGCACAACTATTGCAACCAACCTGTCCTAGTAACCATGGAATCTTGGATCAGTAGAATAGAATGGTAGTAGTAATCTGAATGGAATTAACAAAGCATGCATCATCTTGGCTTCTACGTACTTGAAGCAGAGTAATAACTGCAGCAACAGCTGAGCCATGTTATTTTGTTATGGTGCAGGCACTGGCGATAAAATTGACTTCAGAGGTTTTCACATTGTTTTGTCAAATGAGAGAAGGGTATTGCTTTGCCTGCTCCTTGACCCTCTTTTTGTACTCCACCGTGTCCTGAAAGAAAATCACCCAGCACAATCAAATCAGGTGTCAAAAGCAGCCATGCACATCATGCAAACAAATGATGTAGCTGAAGAAATTAACGGACCTGCGTGAAGAGCTGGTAAGCATCAGTTTGAGCTGGATCGGCAGGGTTTGGCTGGTCAAGCAACTCTTGAATACCAACAAGAATTTGCTTCACAGAAATAGCTGGTCTCCAGCCCTGAAGACGGAGAACAGAGACGCGGAAGAAAGAAAGAATAAGAGAGATAGAAAGAGGCAGGTAGCGGGGGAGGGGAGAAAGGGAAAGAAAGTGGAGGAAAAAAAAGTTTGCACAGACACAAGCGGCGCTGAACGAGAAGCAGCATGCTACTGCAAGAGATACTGACATAGTCTTCGTTGAGAATGCTGAGGCACACCGTGCCTGACGGATAGACGTTCGGATGGAAAAAGCCTGGAGGGAACTTGCACTTTGGCGGCTTTGATGGGTAGTCTTCTGTAAAATGTATCGTCAGCGGATAATGGCCACCTTCCCAGTCCGTCTGCGATAAGGCGAGTGTTAGATGAATACTACGGGAGCAAAACAGAAACAGAAAGAGCTACTCGATAGCTACTCACGTCCTTCTTTCCAGGTATAACGCATTTCCATGTCATCATGTCTGTCGAGCCGTCATCTTTTGCCTCTGGTCTGGCGACAAATCCCTGCACGGTGTGACAATAGTCCACGTGTCATCCTACGTAAACGCTCAAAACCGCATCTTGCGAGCATCAAGTCACTCACGACTCACGTGCGGATGGTTCTTCCGCCAAGCTTTTCGTTCTTCCGTCAGCCTACCCAAAGAGATCCCCGTCATGGAGTCGAAGTACGGCAAATATGTTTTTGGCCAGCGATTATACAAATAAGGCGGTCGTTCAACGTCGAACGGTCCCTAGTGGCACACTATCTTAGAGCAGCGCTGACAGATTCGGGACAGGACGGGACTGCAGCTTTCTGTTGGTCGCAGTGATCCAGAGAGGTCTGACACCTCGAGAACTGAAGCGGGAAGAAAAGGAACCTGGCTTGACACACGCAGTTCGCTCGTTTGCTGGGTCGATAAGGCAAGTAAAGAAAGAAACATGGCATCATGCGATCATAATCCTTCAAGATAGTTTTCCAAGCAAAATTCTTCATCACTAGAACCATGTCATATACTTCAGGCATCGGTGCCACAACTGACAAAAACCAGAGGTTTTGAAAATTTTATGATTTGAGACAATCATCGTACAGTTTGAGCTTAGGCTCAAAGGGTTGTTAGAACAACACATAAACCTGACCTCTAGGGACGGGAACAAGAAATTGCTCAGATGTTGAAGCAACAAACCACACCTTAATCGTCTACAGCACCACCATCAACGCCATCTGGAAATGTGACACATTTGTACACTTTACACTTCTGACAGAGCGTCATCCCCAGCTGCAAAGACCAAGAAAAGAAGTTCAGTTAACAGGTTACTGGAGAGAGGAAGTAAAATGGGGTAACACACAAGCAGCCTGGAAGAGGACGCCTCGCAGGTGCAGTTCAAACTGTTGCAAGGACAGAAGACTGGGTGCTGCTAGGCCTGTGTGTAGAAGCGTCAGAAGCTTACCATACACAAAAATATGCATGCAGTCACACACACTTGAGTTAACTCAGAACGAGGTGACTACATAGCCTAACATAAAACCCACTGTTTGTAAAAACGGGCCAAGATGACCATACACACGAAGATACATGCAGTCTCACACAGACTAGCATGCAGAGGCATGTACATATACACACACGTCCCCTCATCTCTCTCCTGCCAACCCCTTCCTTCCCTTTACCCACCAAACCCTCCAAACCACACACAGCCACACGGACTCACGGCGTAGCAGCCAGGGCAGCGGCGGAAGAGGCGTTTGTTGACCTTCACGTTCACCCTCTCCCCCTGGCACACCTCACACTGCAGCCAGCCCTGGCCGCTGCAGTCCGGGCATGGAATAGTGGAGCTGGAGAGAACAGCCTGGGAAACAGCAGGCGTTGGGAGTAAAGAGGCAGAGGGGAGGATGCGGTGTTTGTTGACTTCACTGTGTGACCCTCACGTTCACTCGCTGCCCCTCGCACACACACCTCGCACTGCAGCCAGCCAGCCAGCCAGCCCTGGCCGCTGCAGTCCAGGCATGGAATAGTGAGGCTGGGGAGAACAGCCTGGGAAGTACCAGGCGTTGGGAGTAAAGGGGGGGAGGGAGAAGGCAAGAAAGAAAGAGGCGTTTGCTGATTTCATTGTGACTGCACGTTGACCCGCTGCTCCTGGCACACCTCGCACTGCCCCTAGCCCTGGCCGCTGCAGTCCGGGCATGGGATGGACGGGCTGGGGAGAAGCGCTGGGAATCAGAAGGGGGAAGAGAGAACAGGAGGAGGGCACAGGGAATGGTAGGGCTTTGGGGTGGAGACTGAGGATGGGGAAGGGAGGAACAGGTGAGCTGGAAGGGATGCCTCAGTAAGCAACAACCATCAGCGACGTGTGCTTCTGCCAATGCAGCAAAACTGACGTTGGAAGTGTACAATTGGACTTTATATGAAGTGTACATGTATTGGTGGTCCATAGACCGTGTAACATAACGTGGTGGTGGTTAATGGTGGTGGTGAAGCATGATCTCGTGCTTCCAGGGTCAACGGAGTCAACGGCGGCGATGCAACAAATGCATCAGACGCACGAAACCTTGGGGCGCGCGCCTCAAAACTTTAAGCAGGTGAATCGGGAATCGGGAATGCACTAACCTCTGAGGTAGACGATGACGATGACGACGCGGCCAGTACGACGTTTCGCGTGGAATCAGCTACTGGAAATGTGGAAGATGGTCGTCGGAGAGAGGAGGACCGGCGGCGTAACCGTCCTTGAAGGGTATTGGTTGACGTAACGAGCTTGTGACCAGAGAGCGGTTGGGAAGCTCCTGATGCGGATCGGACAGCCGTTCTGTGTGCAGCAGCGCAACCTACGGCGGCTGGGACGGCGGAATGCGGAGCGAGAAGAGAGGTCATGGTTGACGGGTGACCAGTTCAGGCGAATCGAGACTAAACGAGGTCGATGAGACGAAACAGCCGCGAAGAGACTAAACCGTAGCGAGCGACGAGCCAGAACGCGAGCTCGGGAAAATTGAATGGCACGATAGCGACGCCAGCCTCCGAGGCCACGTCGAGCCTCTTTTCCCGCCAAATCCGCGTCCTCCGCACCACCTCGTAAGCCAGCAACTAACTAAACACACACCACCTGCTAAATGGCAGCAGGAGGAAACGTGGAGTGTTCCTCCTATTATGCTTCATTGGACACCAACTTGCGGCGACTACTATAAGGCGATGATATTGTACAACTGTAGGAAAAGCCTACTTATATCATTTGGTCCCAATTTGTAAAACGCGTACCCCGTCACTTCTTCTCTCTTCGCTCCACCAACCCGACGTGTCCGTCGCCGCTGATTGGCGTTCGCAACCCACGAGCGTAACGACGAGCCTACTGTCTGTCCGCTGCCTTCGGAAATATCACGCGACTCGACGGTTTTTGGATTTGTGTCAATCCGGTCGACCACTCGTGCACCACGTCAGCACAATTTAGAATTCCAAAACTCCAATCGACCTTACAATAGATTACGCGTTATGGTATCATGTGTTTTGGTTGGTGTTGAGTGTGTCCCGCAGGTTCGTAACTTTGTCATCGTTGGTTTGGTTTAGGCTCTCTAACGTACCGCATGATACTGCTTTTGTCGTGGTGTAGGTCTGCACAGTACATACGACGGTGTCGTGTAGGCAGGGTTTAGATATGGCAATTTGGGAAATTAGGACTGTGACTGTTTGTGACATATGAAACGCCCAACCCAAAATCTGTAACTCCTCAAATCACTCTTGGGATTCAGGGAAAGTTTTATTGTGCGCGCAGTTTTGTCCGTAAAGTTACGAGACGCTGCTAGTTACGAAATATTTTCGCGACCACTCTCGTTAGCTCGCAAAAAACATCTGCAACATCTCTCGTTAAGCTCGTTGCGCATTGTTCACTGCTGACTTGTGTGCTGTTAGATTGATGCAAAATGACCCTCAAAATATTGCTTTTTGATGGGCGGAACACAAAGGTTAAATCTGCTTCCTAAGAAAAAAACTAAAACCCGTTCGGATAGGATTTCCTTTGGGAGGCATCAACCCTAAAGACCTTGTCGCAAGGTGTTTAGGGTTGATGCCTCCCGAAGGGGCATGCCATCCTTCAGGGGTTTATTTCTTTCTTTAGTCCCCTAAATTCAGGCTAGAATCATGCGCGAGGGAAACAAGCAATCGAGATTGGGTTTCCTGCATTTCTCTACAGTTTCTTTTGTGGTTTCAATAAAATTATGCTCGTTTCATTGAGTGACCAAACGTGATAGCTTTTCGGGGCAAGGTATGACCATCTGTGATAGCACCGTGGTCACCAGCGATAGAAATTTCCTTTACTGTAACTGTTTGTGATATCCTTGTGACCAAACGTAATCATGGTAGGCATATCGCACCTACTGACACGCGTAATCTTACTCTGCAAAAAGCGACAGACACTACCACCCACAAACCTACGAATTTGGAGAAACTCTAACGCAGAAGTAATAATTGCGACAGAGTGACCATTTCATGCTTGCAAGTGTAGAAAAAGGGTCGGTCGATCGAAGTTTTGGAATTCTAAATTGTGCTGACGTGGTACACGAGTGGTCGACCGGATTGACACAAATCCGAAAACCGTCGAGACGCGTGTTTCTCCGCTGCCTTCCGTTCCGTACTGCTGACTGCTCTCAGCGTCGCTGCGTCCAGTCACCTCACCAGTCATGGGGGGGAAGAGGGAGAGTGGGAATCAGAAGTGGGAGTGGGTGAGGGGGTGAGGGGCTGTGAGCGAGTGAGAATGTGAATGGGACGGGGGAGGGGGGGAGCTGGGGGTGAGCTGAGGGGTGAGCTGAGCACGAGCCTCAGTGCAACTGGAAAAGGGAGTGTGTGGTTTCTGTGTCTCTGTGTGTGAATTTTGTCTTATTGTCGTGGGTGTGTGTATGGATGGAGCGTTACCTGCCAGTAACCAACCAAGCCCGCTTCAGTCCGCTCCGCACGGAAATACCTTTTTAGGGCCAACTTGCTTAGCAACTCGGTGAACCGTACATATTATTTTAGGTTACGGACGGCCGCCGGATAACCTACGCGAATGGAGCTCATATCTGGAAGCCGGAAATTAGTCAGAACCAGAAATATTTCGTGCGTGACGTTATTAGAAGTTATTCACGAATAAGTGAGGACTTCGGTGTAAAACGTGAGGGACATTGGCACTGTAATGGAATGGATGTCATCAACGGCAGCTGGAAGCTAGTCAGGTCAATCAGCCGCATCGGACGGACCAGAGGACGAGGTAATGACATCAACGGCTAGCCATCGTTCTCCTAAGAAACAGTTTCTCCTCGCTCGTCCCGTGAACCGTCAAAGTCGCATCCAGTTTAGGCTCGAATAAACCGTTGAGGAGTCGACTTGAATGTTGTATTCTAATAGTAGACACTAATCGGCTGCTAACAGCCGGGCATGTCGTTTCAAATGAGCCGGGTTTCCATGCACCGTGTATCAATAGACAAGGTGTCAACACACCGACTATCCCTCGTTCCGTAAACGTCCACAACCCCTCGTGCTCCACGTAACGATACTAGCTACTTTCTACTATGAACCCACTGAACAGGTCTAATCATGAACAGGTATCATCTCGTAGCTCACCTTGTAACCGTGTCTATTCTCAGTATCGCTTTTTGTGCTCGTCGCGTCACCAAAACCCCCTCCACTAACTCACCGCGTCGTGTAACTCCCCCTCCTCGTGCCAACTGTCCCCGCCGGGTCATCTGCGCGTCATCTGCGCTTCCCCTCCCCTCCTCCCTAACTCGTCCCCTAAATCCACCCACATGACGACTTGGTAATTGACATAGGCGCGGGCGCGAGAAAGTAGTTTCCCCCTGAAACATTCCCAACGAAACTTCCACCCTCTCCCCTCTCCCCCCACCTCTCTCCCCTCCCCCTCCCCCTCCCCCTCCTCCTCCCCCTCCCCGCTCCCCCCTTCCCCGCGCTTCCCCCGCAATCCCCGCAGATGACGAGCGGGAGATTGAGATAGGCGCGCCAACCGGCGTGAGCCACGTGACGCACGTCACCTTCGACCGCTTCCAGGGCTTCCTCGGCCTCCCGGATGACTTTCACGGCGAGCTGCCGGCACGAGCTCCCAGCGCCAGGTAGGGGGATTCAGAGAACTATTCAGGGAGATTGCACGCCAAGGGCATATGAAGTTGCTGTTAGGGTCTCTCGGGTCTCCTGAGCTTCCAGGGCTTCCTCGGCCTCCAGGACGACTTTCACGGCGAGCTGCCTGCTCGAGCCCCCGGTGCAAGGTGAACATGAAGGGAGGCTCTTGGGAGTTTGCAGGTCAGGTGCGTATGAAGTTGCTGTAGGTGACTTTTGAGGCGCCTCAAAAGTCTCTTGGGAGTTTGCAGGTCAGGTGCATATCAAGTTGCTGTAGGTGTTGATGGTGCACCTCTCCTCACACCTTTGCACCTCCTCCCTCTTCCCCCACCCCAACTCCACCCCCCTCCCAACGCACTCCCCCGCTGCCCGGTCAGTCGGAGTGTGTTTGGGGTGTGGCCGGAGACGCTGCAGTGCTCGCACGAAACATCCCGTCTTTCGTTTCGTGCAGATGGTGCAGCTCTCCGTATTCTCACCAACATCCCGTCTTCCGTTCTGTTCTGTTACACACAAACCCCCATCAACCCCCCACCAGTCGGACTGTCTTTGGGGTGCGACCGGAGACACTGCAGTGTTCGCACGACTTGGAGGGCAACCAGGTGCCGGACATTCTGCTGCAGCTGCAGGCGATGCTCTACGGCAAGAACGGACTGCAGGTGCGTGCTGTGCTGGTGGTGGTGGTGCCTGGGACGAGTCGCCTGTCGCCTGGGCCCTTGGTTGGGTATCTGTTCTGTGGTCGTTTCTGTTTCACACAGCTGCAGCTGCAGGCGCTGCTCTACAGCAAGAGCGACTTGCAGGTGCATGCTGGTGCTGGTGCTGGTGCTGCTGCTGCTGCCTGGGGTGGGTGGGTGTGAGTGAAGCCGGCAAGCACGTGCCAGTCTGCTCCTTGATCGCCATCCTGCCTGCCAATCATCCCACCTGCCAGCTTCGCTTGCCAATACAATGTTAGATTCTGTCCCTTCCTGTCTCACCGCTCACATCCCTCAACCCTGTCCTCGCCCATCCCCAACCCTCTTCGCCCCACAACTTTCATTGGAGGGTGGCAGACGGAGGGCATATTCCGAGTGGCAGCGCAGAACGACCATGAGGACTTGATCCGAGAGCAGGTGGGCCTGACAGTGTGTGTGTGCGTCTGTGTCTGTGTCTGTCTGGTGCGAGCTGCTTCTGGTTGTGAGACACCTCAAAGCTCGAAAATGGCAGCACAGAACGGCCACGAGGATTGGATCCGAGAGCAGGTGCGTTGTCTGGCTGGCTATGTGTCGTGCCAGCTGCATTGCTTGCTGCCTGCACCCACCAACCATCAACCATCAATCATCAACCACCAACCATCAACCATCAACCATCAACCATCAATCATCAACCACCAACCATCAACCATCAATCATCAATCATCAATCATCAGGCATGGCATGGCATGGCATCGTTGTATCCTCCCCCCACCACCACGGTCGCATCACCTTCATATCATGCACCACCTTCATATCATGCACCACCTTCATGTCATGCACCACCTTCATATCATGCTATGAAGGAGGTGAAGCATGATATGAAGGCACGGACACCAAACCTGCATCGTGTTGATGTCCATCCCTGCATCGTGTTGATGTCCATCCCTGCATCGTGTTGATGTCCATCCCTGCATCGTGTTGATGTCCATCCCTGCATCGTGTTGATGTCCATCCCTGCATCGTGTTGATGTCCATCCCTGCATCGTGTTGATGTCCATCCCTGCATCGTGTTGATGTCCATCCCTGCATCGTGTTGATGTCCATCCCTGCATCGTGTTGATGTCCATCCCTGCATCGTGTTGATGTCCATCCCTGCATCGTGTTGATGTCCATCCCTGCATCGTGTTGATGTCCATCCCTGCATCGTGTTGATGTCCATCCCTGCATCGTGTTGATGTCCATCCCTGCATCGTGTTGATGTCCATCCCTGCATCGTGTTGATGTCCATCCCTGCATCGTGTTGATGTCCATCCCTGCATCGTGTTGATGTCCATCCCTGCATCGTGTTGATGTCCATCCCTGCATCGTGTTGATGTCCATCCCTGCATCGTGTTGATGTCCATCCCTGCATCGTGTTGATGTCCATCCCTGCATCGTGTTGATGTCCATCCCTGCATCGTGTTGATGTCCATCCCTGCATCGTGTTGATGTCCATCCCTGCATCGTGTTGATGTCCATCCCTGCATCGTGTTGATGTCCATCCCTGCATCGTGTTGATGTCCATCCCTGCATCGTGTTGATGTCCATCCCTGCATCGTGTTGATGTCCATCCCTGCATCGTGTTGATGTCCATCCCTGCATCGTGTTGATGTCCATCCCTGCATCGTGTTGATGTCCATCCCTGCATCGTGTTGATGTCCATCCCTGCATCGTGTTGATGTCCATCCCTGCATCGTGTTGATGTCCATCCCTGCATCGTGTTGATGTCCATCCCTGCATCGTGTTGATGTCCATCCCTGCATCGTGTTGATGTCCATCCCTGCATCGTGTTGATGTCCATCCCTGCATCGTGTTGATGTCCATCCCTGCATCGTGTTGATGTCCATCCCTGCATCGTGTTGATGTCCATCCCTGCATCGTGTTGATGTCCATCCCTGCATCGTGTTGATGTCCATCCCTGCATCGTGTTGATGTCCATCCCTGCATCGTGTTGATGTCCATCCCTGCATCGTGTTGATGTCCATCCCTGCATCGTGTTGATGTCCATCCCTGCATCGTGTTGATGTCCATCCCTGCATCGTGTTGATGTCCATCCCTGCATCGTGTTGATGTCCATCCCTGCATCGTGTTGATGTCCATCCCTGCATCGTGTTGATGTCCATCCCTGCATCGTGTTGATGTCCATCCCTGCATCGTGTTGATGTCCATCCCTGCATCGTGTTGATGTCCATCCCTGCATCGTGTTGATGTCCATCCCTGCATCGTGTTGATGTCCATCCCTGCATCGTGTTGATGTCCATCCCTGCATCGTGTTGATGTCCATCCCTGCATCGTGTTGATGTCCATCCCTGCATCGCGTCACCTCCCTTCCGTACGCTGTAACGTGTGCCGGTCATGCATGCTATACTCTCCCTCTCTTTCTCCCTCTCCTTCTCTGTGTGCTCCTTGCCTGCACCTCGCCTTGCCTCGCGCCATGCTGCAGGTCAACCTGAGTCTGGTGCCGCGCAACATCTGTCCCTGCATTTTCTCCTCTCCTTGTGCTTCCCTCAAACCCCCCCCCCCCGCCTCGCCTCACCCCATGCAGGTCAACCTGGGTCTGGTGCCGCGCAACATCGACGTGCATGCCATCGCAGGCCTCATCAAGGTACGCCCCTCTCTCCCTCCCCTCTCCTCCCCTCCCCTTCTCTCCGTCATCTTTTTCCTTTCCCCTCTTCTCCCTCACTCCCTTGCCTCCCCTCCTCTCCCTCCTCTCCTTCCGCTCCCCTCTTTTCCCTCTTCCCCATCTTCCCCTTCCTCTCCCCCTTCTCCCGCTTCTCCCACCCATCTTTCCCTCCTCTCCCTCTTCTCTCTCCTCTCCCTCCTCTCTCCCCTCTTCCGTCCCCTCCCTACCTCCTCCCCTCCTTTCCCTCCGCATTGCTGTGCCTCTCCGTTACCCCCATCCGCATCCTTATCTCCATGTCCACCCCCAGGGTGTTTTTGAGAATTCTCAAAAACACCCTGCAGCATTGCTGTGCCTCTCTTTTACCCCCATCCGCATCCTCATCTCCATTCCCACCCCCAACCCCATCCCCATCCCCTTCTTCCCGTTCTCCCCCTCCCTTCTCTTCAACTTTCCCGCTTCACCCCTCATCCAGGCGTGGTTCCGCGAGTTACCAGAGGGCCTACTGGACCGCTTGAAGCCAGAGAAGGTAGCGGCAGCAGAGAGGGAGGAGCAGATGCTGGCGCTCGTGGCCACACTGCCCGCCCTGCCTGACCTGTACCCCCACCCCCGCCCGCACCGCACCCTCCCACTCAATGCAGGCGTGGTTTAGGGAGTTACCAGAGGGTCTACTGGACCGCTTGAAGCCAGAGAAGGTGGCAGCAGCGGAGAGGGAGGAGCAGATGCTGGCACTCGTGGCCACACTGCCCGCCCTGCAGGCTGGCATGCTGGACTGGGCCGTGGGGCTCATGGCGGACGTGGTGCAGCACGAGGCGAGCAACAAGATGAACGCGCATAACATCGCTGTGGTGTTCGCTCCAAATATGACGCAGGTGTGTGGGTGCATTGGGTGGGCCGGGGTGTGGGGTTCTGGGAATGGGCAGTGGTTGGGGTGAATTTGGCGGTGGATGGGTTGGGTTGGGTGTAGTTCAGTCTTGAGAGCTCTCACTGCTGGACTGGGCGGTGGGGCTGATGGCGGACGTGGTGCGGCACGAGGCGAGCAACAAGATGAACGCGCATAACATCGCTGTGGTGTTCGCGCCCAACATGGCCCAGGTGGGTTGCTAGGTGCCTCAGGTGGGGTTTCAGGTAGCCCAGGTGGGTTGGCCAGATGGCCCAGGTGGGTTTTGAGGTGGCTCAAAAGGCAGCAAGAAGATGGGGAAGGGCGTCGTTTATCCTTCTTTCCTCCATCCAACTCTGTCTCTTGCTCCTACCCTCCTCCCCTCTCCTTCCCTCCTCTCTTCCTCGTTCCCCACCCCCGGACCCCCTCCCACCCAGATCGTTGACCCCCTCCCACCCAGATCGTTGACCCTCTCATCGGCTTCCAGCACGTCAGCAAGGTGACGGACGGACCTTCTCTCAGAGCGCTTGTGCAGCGCAAGCTCAGCTCAAGCACACAGCTCAAGCACACAGCTCAAGCACACAGCTCAAGAAGCCCTTCTTTCTGCCTTTCCCCTCCTTCCTTCTCCCTCCTTCCGCCTCCTCACTCAGATCGTGGACCTCTTCAGAGCGCTTCACCCTTGCCCCTTCCTCTCCTCTCCCCAACCAAGCCCTCTCCCTCCCCCCACTGGCCCCCTGCTCGCCCCCAGATCGTGGACCCGCTAATCGGCTTCCAGCACGTCATCAAGCTCATGGACCTCCTCAGAGCGCTCGTGCAACGCAAGCTCAAGCAGCGCCTTGACAACCCCCCTCCGCCCGCCGCTCCTCTCACGGACCAACCAGCACAGGACGGGGCAGAGAGAGGGGAGAGGGAGGAGGAAGGGGAGGAGGAGGAGGAGGAGGGACAGGAGCGTCACGGTTCAGGCAGCTATGGTGGCTTTCTGGGGAATGGTGTGCATGAAGAGAGCACAGGTCATGAGGAGAGCACAGGTCATGAGGAGAGCACAGGTCATGAGGAGGAAAGGGAGGAAGATGATGAGAGGGGGGGAGAACCGTTATTGGATGAGTGCACAACACCTCTGGCAGGAGATGACCCTCACACGCCCATTGCCAGACCTCTTGTTCCCGAACCTCTCCTTGCCGAGCCTCTCATTCCCGGACCTCATGGCGAGCGTCCGTTTGGTTCGCCTAGCAGAATGGGAGAGAGGAGATGCGGAGGAGGAGGGGATGGAGGTCGGGCGGTGGAAGGAAGAGGGGGGAGAAGAGGACGACCGAGCAAAGGGAGAGGGGCAGGGCGAGGGGGGAGGGGGGTCGGGCGAGGGGCAGAGGGAGAAAGAGTGGCACTGGGAGTTGCAGGAGGGGCAGGAGTGGGAGGGGTAACGGGAGGGGTTGGAGGGGTAACAGGAGGGTTTGGAGGGGTTGGAGGGAGCCGAGGGTGTGGTGTTCCCGTGTGCAGGAGTGAGGAGGTACAGGGGTCAACTTGGATCGTTGATAATAGGCTTGAGGGGGACAGTGCATGTGATCGGCAAGAGGGGAGCAGCGGCAGCGAGGGGGAGGCAGTGGTGTGTCATGGGTGGGACATGATGCCAGCTGTAACGGGCAATTCGCTTCCGGTTTCAACCAGTGCTGGCGATTCCGCACACCAACGGCAGCAGCAGCAGCAGCAGCAGCCGTTTAAGCCGGCGTGGAAGCAGCGCGGTGCAGAGCGGTGCAGCACATTGAGCATGGAGTGCGGGCTGAGCATGGATGGCAGCAGCATGTTCAGTCCACACGGGGGCATGCTGAGTCCGTGTGAGAGCATAGACAGCCCGGGGGGGGTCCTTGCCACGCCCGTGGGTCTCACAGGGGCAGCTGCAGCTGCAGCTGCTGCTGCTTCTGACCCTGCCTTGTTCCTGAGGTTCCGCAGCGATTCGCGGGAACAGCAGCAGGGGCTTCTCACTCAGGCGCCTCAGCAGGCGATCCTGCCTGCTGCGCCCCCCGTTGGAGGGACTGTTGGCCTCTACGCACGGGCGCATGCAGCTGCTGCTGCTGCTGCTGCTGCTGCTTCTTCCCCTGCTTCCTCCCCTGCTGCTGCGCTTGGGTTGGCATCCTCCTCAGCAGCAGGCAGTGCAGCCTCCTCTCCCACGGTAGCAAGCCCTGCACTGAGCCCTGCGGCCTTCTCTCCCACTACCGGCACCCCCAGCTCGGCAGGAGAGAGGCGGCACGGGGGGCACAAGGGAGGGTTCAAGGGCGACCTGTGGTCCAGACGAAAAGGGCCTGCAGTGCCCCACTCCCGCCTCTCCCTCCCTGCTGCCTCCTCCCCCTCTGCTGCTGCTGCTGCTGCTGCTGCTGCTTGTGCCCACAATGGTGCTTACCCGGCTAATGCCAGTGCCTCTCGCACTGCCAGCAACAGCAGTGCTGGCAGCGATGCTGCTGCTAGAGTTGCCACCAGCAGCAGCGGTGACCTGACACCCACCCCTCCCGCCAGCACTGGTGGCTTCACACCCACCCATCCCCTCACACCCACGCCTCCCTTAACTCCCACGCCTCCCTCCCGTCCGCTCAAGGACCCCTCCGCCCACTCCCCATCCCCCCTTCGCTCCCCTCTGCTGGGACGGAGACGAGGGTACAAAGAGAAGAAGCACTCTCCGGGTAGCAAGCAGCAGCAGCAGCAGCAGCACGCAGTGCTGGCGTCGGCACCATCAGCTGGGGCAGCAGGTGAGTGTGCCCCAGCGCTGACCCCCCGGTCAGGGTTTGGTGCTGTGCCCCCAGGCACGCCCCCTTCAGAGGCCGCTCAGAACCCTGCTGTGACTCCTCGCTCGTTCCTCTCCCGGCAGTTCCCAGGAGGGTCGGGCTTTGGTGCGGTCCCAGGCACGCCTCCCCCTCACTCGCCCCGCCTATTCCCCCTGTCGCCGCGGAACTTCTTTAGAAAGCACAAGTCGGAGGGGGGCGTGGAGAGGAGAGACGGGGTAGAGCGGGACGAGGGGAGAGAAGGTGGAGAAGGGAGAGAAGCGAGAGAAGGGAGAGAAGGGGGAGAGGGGCATGAGCATCACTTGCAACACTCTAGGCTGATGGTGGTGGGTGAAAGTTCAGACAACCACGTGGGGGAATCAGGAGGCATTCCAGGTTCAGAGCACACTGAAGCAGGGGCGTTTCCAGAGACAGGTGGTGGGGTTGGTGGAGACAGGGAGGGAGGGGTTTGTGCTGTTTCTCAAGTCAGTTCTGTTCCTCAAGTCGGTTCTGTTCCTCAAGTCGGTTCTGATTCTCAAGTCGGTTCTGTTCCTCAAGTCGGTTCTGTTCCCCAAGCTGGTTCTGCCCCTCGGTTGCCAATTACCTGGTCTGACACGCAGTGTGCTTTTGAGAGCTCTCCACACCAATCTCCCCTGGGGTATGAGCAGCAGCATCAGGTGCAGTGGGGTGACAGCAGCACGGGAAATGTGGGAGAGCATGCGGGGGAAGCGGGGGGGACAAGAGGAACAGGATGGGCGGCAGTAGAAGCAGCAGCGGCAACAGCAACTGGAGGGCGGCCAAAGTCGAGTGGGGGTTGGAGAAGAGGGTGGTCTGGGCCTCATGGGGTGGCAGGGGTGGGTAAGGGCATGCACCTGCTCAGCCCACACAGGGGTGATGCACACAGGCCAGGGCATTGGGACACCGCTGCTGCTGCTTCCGCTGCCGCTGCCGCCGCCGCCGCCGCCGCCACCGCTGCTGCTGCTGCTGGTGCTGGTGCTGGTGCTGGCGCTGGTGCTGGTGCTGCTGGTGCTGCTAGCGATAGTGCCACTGCTGCCAGTGGTGCCAATCCAGGTGGTTCGGCCAGCAGGAGCGGCCGAACGAAGCTGGGAGCAGCAGGGTCGGGGCTGGCAGCAGCAATGAAAACATCGGTGAAAACGTCTATGAAGGTACTCGCCCCGCTTGCACCCACCAAGACCTGGGCGTCAGGCATGGGCGATATGTTTGGGGCCAAGTCCCCCCGCGCTCTCCTCTCCCCGCACTCTCTCCTCTCCCCCCGCGGCTTCCTTTCCCCTGGTGGTTTCCGCTCCCCCCACCCGTCCGGACACGGAGAGAGGGCGGATGGGGGAAACAGGGGGGGTGAGGGGGACAGGGCATATGGGGAAGGCAGTGTGAAAACGCCAGGAAGGGGAGAGGGGGCAGGCAGGGGAGAGGGGGCAGGCAGGGGAGAGGGGGCAGGCAGGGGAGAGGGGGCAGGCAGGGGAGAGGGGGCAGGCAGGGGAGAGGGGGCAGGCAGGGGAGAGGGGGCAGGCATGGCGGATTTCTTACCCAGCGAAGAGGAGAAAGGAGGGAGAGAGGAGGGAAGAGAGGAGGACGGGGAGGAGCGGCGATTCCCAGCCGAACAGGCGTCTCTCGACTTGCCTGTCAAATCACCAAGGGCATTTCGGAAACTAACCCGGAGGTCGAGTGGGTTTCAGCTGCCGACGCGGGCAGCAGTAGCAGCAGCCATGACCCTCCCCTCGTCCCTCTCCATGAAAGAGCGGCGCTCCGAATCATCAGCAGCACCAGCCATTTTCTCCCTCCCTCCCTCTGCTTCTCTCTCCTCTGCCTCCCCTTCCTCGGCAAAGCCTCCGTGGGGCTCCGGGTCGATGCAGGAACGGCCTCTGCACCTGCAGCAGCAGCAGCAGCAGCGCCTGGCGCAGGCTCGGCAGCAGGAGGTTCGGCAGCCGGAGGCTCGGCAACTGGAGGCTCGGCAACTGGAGGCTCAGCAGTCGGGCGTCTCCCAGGCTCCGCTGGAGGGTCGGTTGCGGCAGGTCCGGAAGGGGAAGGTGCAGCTTCCTCGGGCTATTTCAGCGGATCAGTATCAGCAACACGATGGGAGGGAGTTCTTCCAGGAACAGCTATCGCTGCAGCAACAGCACCTTCAGCAGCAGCAGCAGCAGCAGCAGCAGCAGCAGCAGCAGCAGCAGCAGCAGCAGCGAGCTCCTCTAGAGAAGGCAAGCAGTGCGAGTGCAGCTCTGGCAGCGTGGGCCAAGCGGTCAAAGCAAGGGGGGCAGAGGCAGGGGCAGGCACGCAGAGAGGGGGTTGGTGGTGGTGGTGGTGGTGTTAACGGTGGCGGTGGAGGTGCTGGTGGGTGGCATGGTGTGGCTCGTAGTGTGTCGGTCGATGTGGTGACACATGGCATGGCCTCTCAGGCAGCAGAGCTTGGGGGAAACTCTGGAGCAGGAGGAGGAGGGGAAGGAGCAGGAGGAGGAGGGGAAGGAGGAGGAGGAGGAGGAGGAGGAGGAGGAGGAGGAGGAGGAGGAGGAGGAGGAGGAGGAGGAGGAGGAGGAGGAGGAGGAGGAGGAGGAGGAGGAGGAGGAGGAGGAGGAGGAGGGGTGGGGAAGGTGAGAAGACATGCAGGAGGGGCTGTGGGTGTGAGTGGCAGCGGGGAGAGAGTGAGGGCGCCGACACTGGAAAGACCACGTGTGCCCATTGCACGGTCAGAGTCAGAGTCAATCCCTAGGTCGTCCAGTTTCAACAGCCACCACCAGCCACCGCTGCCGCAGCAGCAGGTGCAGGGAGCACACTTAACAGCAGCAGCACAGCTGCTGCAGCAGCAGCAGGGAGCGCAATCGTCTGATTACTCAAGGTCGGTTATCCGGTCGTCCAGTTTCAACAGTCACCACCAACCTCTGCCGCCCCAGCAGCAGATGCAGGGATTGCTGTCATCTGACCACTCTAGGTTGGTTCCCCGGTCGTCCAGTTTCAACAGCCATCACCAGCCACTGCAGCCGCCGCAGCTGCAGGGATCACCAGCAGCGGCACAGCTGCAGCTGCAGGGAGCGTACTCGTCTGACCACTCAAGGTTGGTTCCCCGGTCGTCCAGTTTCAACAGCCATCACCATCCTCTGCCGCCGTATCACCCACCATCACAACTGGCAGCAGCAGCAGGAGCAGCAGCAGCACCACCACTATCACCACTGCAAAAGCAGCACCAGCAGCAGCAACAGCCAGGTGACAATGTCAGGTCCTGGGGCCATGTCCCAACCGCCGCTTCAGGCTCGAGGCCTGGCTCGGGCCAAGGCTCGAGGCCCGGATCCAGGCCCGGATCCAGACCTGGGTCGTCCCAAGGGATTGTGAGAAGTGGGTCTGGTTCTGTATTGAACCAAGATGCTCCCATGGTTGCTGGTGCTGTTGCTACGGCCTTGACTGAAGGAATGCCGAGTGAGGGTAGGGTGGGGTCTGGTGTAAGATTAGCGGTAGGAGCGGTTGGTTTACCCAGGAGAAAGAGTACTAGGTAGTAAGGGCATGTTTGTAATGTAATGATGGAGTAATTGGTGTGTTTCGGCTGAAATATGCGGGTGTGGTTGGTTGGGCTGCTTAGGAATACCGTATCTTTCTGTGCGATTGTCTTGCTGGAAACGTAGTGTAGGCCATCTTTTAAGGTTGTGCAGTGCAATGCTGTGTAATGTGGAAAGAAGGAATCCTTCAATCTACCATATCGTCTGATTTCCGCCTCAGCACAGCACTGAATGCATGCCTGGGAAGTGGAGAGAGTGTCATGTCATGTACGGTAGTGTTTCTTTGGTTATGGTACCATTTGGAAAGGCAAATATCTGACCATTGCATTGAAAGTATCATATAATATAAAGCGTTAAAAACAATATGAGCAATATATATAAGGGAGCCCCTCCCCACCAATCGCAAGAGGCTTGTAAGGAGATCGGTGTGACATTAGACCCAGTTCGAGTCAACGCCCCCCTTGGTGCGAGCTACGGTAGCTGAGAGGAGTATGAGCAATTATTCTCCACGAGCATCCATCTTGGTCACTACCACAATACCGGTAGTGTGAATATACATGCTAGCAGTTGGGAGGTTCCAGTGAGGTTGATGCGGGCTTCCGCTTGTTGATTAGCTGTGGGTCACACGAGCAGGTAACAGCAGCACACCTGTTGCTGCAAGAATGGGAGGAACCCGTTAGTAAACATGCATTAGTAAACCGACGGTTGCACATCAGCAGCTTCAGTAGATTGAAGGTTGCAGATCAGGCTTAGTAGATTGACAGTTGCAGATCAGCTGAAGATGATTGACGGTTGCAGATCAGGCTTAGTCGATCGACCATAACACGCCAGCTGCTGCTGCATGCTCCGCAACACACCCCGCCCGCACCAAGTTCCGAAAGAACTCTCACCCCGCAACTCTGTTTCGCGACGACTAGAACAGAGAGCGCGGTGGTATACCACCAGCAGCAAAGCTCCACCAGCAGCACCCAAGCTCCACACCACCGAACTAACTCAATTCCTAGGATTTCCAAGTCGACTCAAAAAGCTCGGGCAGCACAGGGAGCAGGGGGGTCAAAGGTTTCAGTATCGGATTGCGTAATCATGATCTTGCTGACGCAACTGATGCGCAGGTCGAGCCGTGGCGGGGATGCGGCCACGACCCTGCTGACGTGGCCTCCTCGAACCACACCTCTAAGCGCTGCGCGACCAGCGACACGGGAGAAACCGGGCTCGCGACTTCGACGCGCGCGCGCCCGCGCGAGTCGCCCGCCAGGCTGAGCGGACGGATAGGCGTGTAGTACCGCGGCGAGACCGCGCGGCATTGAACCCGCGCCACGTCAGCACCCAACGGGTTTACGTTCGAAACGGAGTCATTATTAGGAGCGCGTCCGGCGGAGTGCGCTTCGTGAGGGCCATAGCGCGGCGCGCAGGTTGCAGCGGCCGTAGGTCGAGAATAATACAGCTGATGGCGCCGCGGATTAAGCCCGTAGTGATCGTGAACGTTGGATGACGGTCCCGCGCCACCCGCGCGCGGCATGGTCATTGCAGTGCTTCGCCCGAGCGGCCCCTGTTGTACTAGCTGATGATTCGCCTGTCGCAACCGCGACCGCGGCCGCTCTTCCTCCTCTCCTTCCGTCTTGACCTGTCGCGACCGCGGCCGCTGTTCCTCTTCTCCTTCCGTCATGATCTGCCGCGACTGCGGGTGCTGTTCCCGATATCCAATGTCCTGTGCGGCGATGCGAAATCGCTGCTGCTGCGCGTGGGCTTCGCGGCAGAGATTGGATCGCGGGCAGCTGGACTCGGACCGCGGGCAGTTAGAAGCGTGCGCAGCTGCGCAAGCGGGCTGCGGAGAGCGGTTTCGAAGCGCGGTGGCTGCAGGCGGTCGCGACGACAACGGCGAGGAACTCAGAGGGGAGAAGGGTAGCGGCGAGGACGGGGCGGAGGGCGCGAAGTGGGCGGAGGGCGCGAAGTGGGCGGAGGGGGAGATGTGGGCGGAGCGGGAGAAATGGGCGGAGGGCGAGAAGTGGGCGGAGGGGGAGAAGTGGGCGGAGGGCGAAAATGGGGCGGAAGGGGAGAAAGGGGACAGGGGCGAGAGGTGGCGTTTGAACTCGCAGCTGCGGCCAACATAATGTCTGCTTTGATTGGCCCCGCAAAAATTTTCCCCACTACCCGCAGCAGCAGCTGCTGCTTCCGTTCCGTTCGCAGTCGCGCCACCAGCTGTAGCAGTTTTCCGCGCCGCTGCTGCTGCTACTGCCGGCGGCGAGTACGGCTGGCCGCGGGAGTCCGCTAGTGACTGCAGGCTGCGCTGCGTGCGCGGGGAAGGATGCGCGGGCTTGGGATACGCGGGCGGGGACGGGACCTCCGCGCAAAATAGACGGCCTGCCCCGTCTTCCCCTCTGAGCGGAAGCGTTCTCGCCCGCCGCATGACCCTCGGGCCTGTCGCGGCGGCTTCCCCCAGGGAAAACGCGCCGTCCTCCGAATGCACTGCGTCCGCGCCGGCGCCGGTGGGCGATGCCGCGCGCGCCGTACTCCGCGGACTCGTTCGGCGCCGCGAGATCATCCTCGGGCCGCTGGGTGCCACAGTGCACCTAGTTGGACTCGGCTGACTGTAACGGAACGAATTCTCCGCCCTACCCGCCGCCGCCGCCGCCGCCGCCGCTGCCGTCGCGCAATGCACCGGGGATAGGTCCGCCCCTAGTAATGTGTCTCTGCGGTACTCTGGCGGCCGCGGGATCCGCCGCGCCCATGGGGAAACGGAGGGCGGGGAAACTTCCGAGGATGGGGAAGCTTCCGAGGACTGCGGTGATTCTACCGAGAGCGCCGTTGGTTGTCGAAATTTCTCAAGTGCCAGCTGGACAGATCGGCGGTTTGTTGTAGTACCGCTGAAAGAGCGACTCCCCATGGTTGTTAAGCCTCGTTCCACGCGCCTCGCGTACACCTGCCGTGCTGCCGCAGCCGCCGCCGCTGTTGTCGTCGCCGCGGAAGATGGAGACAACTCTGGGACCGCCGCCGCTCGTGCGGCCTGATGGGTCGAGCATATGCCGCTGTCCCGCGACTGTGCCACAACTGTCGGGCTCTGCGTCCTTGACGGCGGCTGATGCGGCGGATGATGCGGCGGCGAGCACGGACCTCCTGGACTCCGAGCCCCAGACCTGCTGTCGTCGGGCCCCGCGATTGTTGCTGATTTGACGAGTAGGTGCGGGCGACGCTCCCTGTTGAAGCCACCATTGTCGCTGGCAGCGGCTGCGGCGGCTGTGGCGGCGCAGATGGGTCGTCGATCAGAGCAGTACTGAGCGCCTCTTCGCGCTGCGTCGTTCGCGGCGCGATGGCTTACAGAATCGCTGCTACTGCGGCAAGGGCTGGGCGCGAGGTCGTCGCTTTCCGCCGCGGCGCCGTCCGCCACGAGTGTTTCCAGCTCGACCAGGCGGCGGCGATTTCCGGCGGAGGCCATGCTGATGCTCCGCGCGACGTCATTCCCACGATGCGCCACGGCGACATTACCATATTGCGGCGCGTTTTCACAATCCAGGGGTACGTCTTCATGACAAGCTGACGGTAACATGGCGGCGGAGCTTGAAGGGATCGCAACGCGGAGCTGCAACCGGCGGGGACCGCCGGACTCCGGACCGGCTGCGCGTTTTGGTTCCTGGTGCGGTAAAAGAAGCTTCCGTGGCGCGTAAAAAACTTGCAGAGGCTGGACTTGCGAGTGCTCTAGTGATGGCTTGGCTACAGTTTGAGGTAGCAGTGTTGCCGCCGCTCGGATGGGTAGCTCCACGCGGGGCAGTGGTGACACCCGACCGCGCCGCGCGAGCAATGGCGTGCTGCTGCTGCTTCGCGGTGCGACATCATCCGCGCTGCAGTTGGTGGTGGTAAGACCGCTGTTCGAAGTTTCCGATATGCTGTTGCTGCTAGTGCTCCCGCAAGAGCTGTCTAGGAAATCAAGGGCACTGATGCTGCTGGTATTGCTGCTGCTAAGTGAAGGATTCGTGGTGGTTAGCATGCCGGGCTATGCGCTCGTGGGCTTCGGTGTGGCAAGGAGGCTGTTGGAAGGGAGGGCTATCTGGGGTGTGTGGCGAATTCAGAGGTAAAGCGCAGGCTGCGACTGCAAGGATTCTGCGAGGCTGT